GCCAGTTCAAGGCCTCGCATAGCGAGACCCTGTCTCAAAAATCCAAAATAAATAAACAACAGACAGAAGAGCTTCGTGATGAAAATCTACCCCATGTTCTACACACTGTAGTTTTCTTTAGTAGTACAGTCCATAATTGGTCATATTTATTTTTCTAAGTTCTTCGGTTTCCTATCCAGGACAGCAGTTTCCTCCGTAGGATTTCCTAGCTCCCAGCAGGAGAGGTCTGCGAGAATGGATTTCAAAGGAAACTGCACACCATGAAAATAAAATGAAGCAGTACTGAATTTTTGTAATGGATAATTGTTTGCACTTGGTAACTGCTGACTGCTACTTCACAGAGAAGAAACAAAGAGAGAGAGAGACAGAGACTCACCCCTCTTCTGAGCTGCCTTGTGCCTGCCTTACATCAGAATAATTCACTGTAATATGATGTCTACAACTCCTTCAAGAAGACACCTAGAAGAGGAGTAGGACTTCAAACGGAATTTCTAGCTTTAGCTTTGTGAGGAATCCCCATACTGATTTCCATGTTTGTGGCACCACAATTCATTATAGCTAAACCTGGGAAGCGGCCTGCATGCCCATGAAGAGATGAATGGATAAAGAAAATGTGGTATCTACATACCATGGAATAGTACTCTGCCATAAAGAAGGACAAATGAGTCAGTAGTAGGAAAACAGATGCAGCTTGAGATCATAATGTTAAGTGGAATAAACGGAGGCATGTGCTTAAATAGTACATGGTGCTGGGTGCGGTGGCGCACGCCTGTAATCCCAGCACTCGGGAGGCTGAGGCAGTAGGATCGTTGTGAGTTCGGGACCAGCCTGGGCTACAAAGTGAGCTCAAGGTGGGCCTGAACTGCATAGTGAGACCCCGTCTCAAAAAGACCTAAATAAATAAATAAATACATAGTACATGGTTTCTCTTATGTGAAAAAACCAGAGTACATATAAAGAGAAAAATAAAAGGTGAGTGGGCCGGGGATATAGCTCAGGGGCACAGAGCCTGCCTGGGAAGTGTGAGGCCCTGAGTTCGATTCCTGGTACCAAAATGAATAAATAAATAAAAGACAGAGGACAGGAAATGGGGAAGTGGACCTTTCTCAAATGGGAAAGGGACCAGGAGAGGGAGGGGACCAGGAGAGGGAGGGGACCAGGAGAGGGAGGGGACCAGGAGGGGCGGAAAAGGACTTCAGCGCCTTCCGTGTCTGTACCATCTCCACAAGAGAGACGTCATCGTGTGCTACACACACGTGCTAATAAAAATGTAAAACTGAAAATAATTCACTTACGGAAAAAAACCAGCCCAAAACAGGCTTCCCCTGCCGCTCCGAGCACCCGCGCACGCGCACAGAGGCGCCCCGGCAGGTCCTCCCTGCTCCGCGGCGGGCTACACAGAGGCGCTGCCGTCTGGAGCCCCCTCTGCAGGCGCGAGCCCACGGCATGCCCGGAGCCTGAGGTTCACAGGCGAGGTGATCTCCCCTAGATCTCCGTGGCGACAGGCTCTGGGGCGCGCTGCCTACGCATTGCCCACTGCACTGTTTTGATAGTTCTTTTTCCTTCGGATGAGCAGATGACAGCTCCTCGTCTTAGTGCAAATGATCATTAAAATCCTTACTTACAGTAATAAGTAAAACTTAATTTTGCTCTGAAATCTCTCTCTCTCTCTCTTTTTTTTTTTTTTTGTCTTTTCGAGACAGGGTCTCCCTGCGCAGTTCAGGCTGGGCTTGAGCTCACTTGGTAACCTAGGATGGTCTCGAACTCTCAACGATCCTCCTGCCTCAGCCTCCCGAGTGCTGGGATTACAGGTATGCACCACCGCGCCGGGCTTTAACTTTGCTTTGGACTGAGTTCCTACACGAAGCCCCAGGAGGCCAGAACAAAGCGCAGGCCCTGGTGTTCAGCGCCGCGCATCAGTGAGCGTGTGGCACACACCCGTGACCCCGGCACTCGGGAGGCTGAGGCAGGCGGATCGTTGTGAGTGAGTCCGAGGCCCGCCTGGGCGACACGGTGACTTTAAAGCCGGCCTGAACTGCGTAGCTAGACTGTCTCAAAACACAGAAAAGCGGAAATGTCTCATTTCTCCAGGGTGTCACTGAGCAGCCGCGGGCCTGTGCGCCCTAAGGTGAGCACGAGCTTCGGGAGCTGGCTCCGAGCACCCAGGCCGATCACAGCTGGCGAGCCCGGTCTGCTGTGCCCAGCGCCCGGGACCCTTCTGCCGAAGCGCGGGCCGCACCCCGGGCGCCGCTGTTCCCCAGGACCTGCCGAGCGGACGCTCCTAGCAACGCCCTGGCCGAGGTGTGGAGCGGGGTCCTGCGGCCACAGACCAGCACCCGAGCCACTGCCGGGGACCCCTCCCTGGGGACACGGGCGGGAGAGGCCGCCTGCGCGCGATGGTTTCCTACAGCAGCGGGCACTTGCTCGTTTCATAAACGTTTTCTCTTGCTGCGGTCGTCGCTTGTATGGGGTTAAGTTGGGGCCGGGAGACGTGGTGTGAACGGAGCCCTCGCCCCATGGGTCTCCCGGGCAGGACCCGCGAAGCGTTCCCGCCCGGCACAGCGCGCCCCTGCCCGCGCGGGGACAGGCGGCCCCTCGGGGCGCAGGGGCCAGCAGTCCTCAGACCGTCCAGAGCCCTGCGGAGGAGGGGCAGGCGGGCCTTTGGGTACTTTCCCAAAATGCAACTAAAAAAAAAAAAAAAAAAAAACCGCAACCAAACAGTTTCTTTCCAGTTCACAGTATCTATTGTAAGCTACGGATCCTATTTTCTTGTTCAATTTCTCACACTAGTGAGACAGTACAATGTTTGCACATATTGATTTATTTCACGTACGAGTATGGTCTCTGGTTGCATCCACTGAGCTATAAAAGTCTCCTGTTTATCCTTCTTTATGGCTGAGTAGTACTCTATTATATAAAAAAGTCCACATTTTTTCCATCCATCACTTGGTTGATGTTGATTAACTACTAGGAAGACAACAATATGCATTGTAGCAACTATTGCAACTGCCCTACTAACCTGATTTGAAACTCAGTTTCATTGTTTATCTTTTTTCTCTTTAAAAAACAAACTGCAACTGCGAAGGCAGATATCGGAAGGGAAGAGCCAGTCCTGATTGGCGGTGGCGCCCGAGTGCAGAGGGCAGAGGAGCCGTTGGGGATGGGCCGGGGCAGCTCCGTCTGGGTCTGGTGAGACTTCATGTTCCAGAGCGCATACTGAGATTCTGTGACCCGCACCCCAGCCCCAGATGCAGTGAAATCCACTAACGGTTTCTAATGCTTACGTTTCAAAATGTTCACTTTCCATTTTCTGTATCCTAACGGATGTCCCCGGGGGCTCCTACCTCCTGGTGACCCAAAGACAGCTTTTTTTTGAGACAGGGTCTCGCTATGCAGTTCAGCCTGCCCTTGAGCTCATTTTGTAGCCCAGGCTGGTCTCAAACTCACAGCAGTCCTCCTGTCTCAGCCTCCTGAGTGCTGGGATTACAGGTGTGTGCCACCACACCCGGCAACACAGAGAAAGCTAACTTGGCACTTAAAGGAAGTGTCACGGTTCGTGTCTGGATGTCCCCCCAAAGCCTCATGCAGTCATAGGGGCAGGTTCTAGTTTGTGATTGATTCACGGTCCAGTGCTGGGATTATGGGTGTGAGTGCCTCACCCGCTGTGGGCGGGCAGCCTGCATGCAATATAAGGGAGGGGAAGAGGCTTGTGGGCTGCTCCTCCCTTTTTGCTCTGGTTGCTTTTGCTGTCTTCTGCTGCCATGAAGAGTTGCCCTCTGCCATGTGCCGCTCTGCCTTGGAGCCAGCCGAGTATGGACTGAAACCTCACAGACTGTGAAAACCTTTCCCTCTTTAATTTTGGGTGCCAGGTATTTTGTCTCAGCAATGAGAGAAGAGAAAAGTAACCAAGACAGAGGGTAAAGCCAATCTCACTACCATGATCTCAATTTTCTTCTTTTGGCTTTTGGAGACAGGGTCTCGCTCTGCACTGTAGGTTGGCCTTGAGCTCACTATGTAACCCAGGCTGCCTTGGTCACAAGCCGCCTTGCCTTTCCTAAGAAGTAAAGCCACCATCGGCCATGACAGAGTATGCTGAGGCTTTAATCATGGTCCGTGGGGACTTACAGACAGACCTTACAGACCAAATATTGCCCTCACATGCTTTTTCAGTCTGTATTTTTTCTTGATGACAGTGATATTCTCAAAGAGACTTGCAAATTCCAAAAGAAAAGGTCCACAGCCGCCCTGGGGCGGCCTCGCTCTGTTCCCCATGACCCTCCAGGGCCTCGAGAACGAAGCCACTACACACACAGCATTTGTTGAGCACCAGCTCTGCCATCTCCTCCAGACAGAGACCAGCACCCCGCTGAGAGTCCGCCTCACCACAGACTCTGTACCCCGCCAGCCCAGGCGTGCGTAAGTGTTGAGGAGAGTTACTGTTCACCAGGGGGGAATACTTTCTGGAAAGCCAGCAGTCCCCTAATTCTATAATGAGCGGAAAAATACACTGTTGCTGAAGACTCTGCCAGGCACAGGGTCACCAACAGATCAGGATTTTATGCTGCTTTTTCTTTGGGTTTTTGAGATGGTCTCATTGCACAGATCAGGCTGACCTTGAGCTCACTGTGTAGCCCAGGCTGGCCTCCAACTTGCAGCGATCCTCCTGCCTCAGCCTCCCCAGTGCTGGGATTACGCCCAAGGGCCATCACACCTGGTCATAATTTTATGGCTTTTCAGGAATTAAATTTCGTCTTCTAGCTGCGTGCAGTCTTGGGTCCAGATCGTTTATATCAAGGAAAGAAGGCATGTGCGTGGTGCTCCGCCTCATCTAGGCACTCTTCCCCTTTTGTTTACAAACATTTTTTTTTTTTTTTTCCCCCCCTCCGGTACCAGGAACCGAACTCACGACCTTGCGCTTGCCAGGCAGGCGCTTTGCCGCTGAGCTAAATCCCCAGCCCCCAAACATTTGTTTTTAAATAACGAGCCTGGATAACAGCAAGTGGGTCCTACCACTTTTATTGATCACTTTCATTAGACAAAGTTAGCCAAGTGGGACAACTGGGAAGCAGGAAGGTGCTGGAGCTCCGCGGGTCCGGGCGTGAGCTGCGCCCACGCGGCTGCTCAGAGGTGCGTGTCCGCGATGGGGATCCGCCGCAGCTCCACGATCTGAGACTCGCTCAGCGCGCCGCCCTCCTGGCTGCCCTGGCCCGACTCCGCGTCGCTCACGCTGAGGCCGGCGCCTGCGGGGACAGGAACAGCACAGAGAGTGACTCCTGGTCAGCTCCAGGAGCTGCACCGTGCACCTGCTGGGGCGGGGGGTTGGGGGGCGGGCGGGGGTGAAGCCAGGGTACAGGGAACGGCAGGCGCAGGACCCGGGACACACGTGACAGGGGTCCAGGGGAGAGGGGAGAGAGGTGGCGGTGGTGAAGCCCCTGCCAGCTCCCACCTGCCACACCGCAAGCAGGGACTAATGAAAATAAAAGAAGAATCAGGTTACAGCCAGCCCAAACATGTTTCCACTACACTAGTTAAAAAAAAAATACATATACAAATTAATACTACCAATGGCGGAACTACATTTTAAATTGACTTTAGTAGTTTCTAAAAGTAGAAATCAATTTCTGAAGACATAGATTTAGCTGGGTGTGATGGCTCATGTCTGTAATCCCAACACTTGGGAGGCTGAGGCAGGAGGATTTCTGTGAGTTTGAGGCCAGTCTGGGCTACACAGCAAGACCCTGTCTCCAAATAATAGCTAGAAGGAGCTGGCTTGGGCCAGCAGCAGCTTGAGGTGGGTGAGCTGGAGCTGAGGTCTCAGGGACAGAGCTGCCCCAAGGGGAAGAGCAGGGGACAGAGGACCCACGTGACCCCCAGGAGCAGCAGCCTCTACGCCTTGGCATTCACTCGCTTTGCAGAAAGTACTGAGATTTTACGGGTTTTTTTTTTTTTTGTCTGTTTTTGGAAATAGTCTCACTATGTAGCCCAGCCTGGCCTTGAACTCAGGTGACCCTCTTGCCTCAGCCTCCTGAGTGCTGGGATCACAGGTGTGCGCCACCACACCCACATAAAGACTGTGATTTTCTGAAAGGTATTTTTGTTTTATATTTTGAGCCAAAAATGTGAGAGGAATCCAGCAACAGTGACAACAGCCTCTCCTCCCCGGGATGGACAGTGGAGGCAGCTGCTAAGGAACTCTAGCACCAATGTCACCATCTTGGACGAAGGAGGAAACTCAAAGTCCAGTCCTTGAAGAAGACCCCCGCCAGGACATTGAAGCACGGGGGATGTAACAAGCTCGATAATGGTGCAGCCTGTGTCGGTCAGGTTTTCCTCATGGTGACAGAATACCTGAGGCAAGTAACTAAAAAGAGGAAAGGTTTATTTTGGCTTCTGGTTTCTAAAGTTTCCATCCAGGGTCGGCTGCTCCAAGGCTGAGACAGCACGGCAGAGGGGCGTGGTGAGGGGAGGGAGGCCTCTCCTGGCAACCGGGAAGCAGAGAGAGCCTGAGTCTCAGCAGCCCCCCAGCCACGGGCTCACCAATGGGTCCCCGCGTGGGTGAGGTCAGGGCCTCCAGGATCCAACCCCTTCTCAAAAGGGCGCAATGAGAAAGTGAGCACTTTAGCTCCAAAAGTGCCGGATCTCCTGCCCGCTCCCCGGGGGTGGGATTCTGTCCTTAAGTTCTCCTGGCTGTCCTCAGTAAAGGCGTCTGACCCAGTGCTCAAATGTCTCAGTGCTACTTCTGATTGAGAGTTGGTGAGGCTTAAGTCTGACTGGAAGGGCAAAGACAGTGGTGCCAATGACTATTAAAAGGGCTACTTAGTCCTTTTCTTGGAAATCCATCTGTCCATCCATCTATCCATCCCTGCATTCAACCTTCCACCCACCCACTCACACACCTATCCATCCATCCACATCCATCCATCCATCCATCCATCCAACCTCCCACCCACCTACCCCTACACACCTATCCATCCAGGTTTCCACCCACACACATCTATCCATCTGTCCATCCATCTATCTACCATCCATCCATCCAACATTCCACCTACCCACCCACCCACACCTCTCCATGCAGCCAGGCTTCCACCAACCCACACACACCTATCCATCTATCCATCCATCCATCCATCCATCCAACCTCCCAGGCACCCACCCACCCACACACCTATCCATCCATCCACATCCATTCAACTTTCCACCCACCCACCCACACACCTATCCATCCTTCCACATCCATCCATCCATCCATCCATCCAACCATCCAACCTCCCAGCCACTCACTCACACACCTATCCATCCATCCGATCTACCCATACACCTATCCATCTACCCATCCATCCACATCCATCCATCCAGCCAACCTCCCAGCCACCCACCCACACACCTATCCATCCATCCAACCTTCTACCCATACATCTATCCATCTATCCATCCATCCATCCATCCATCCACCATCCACCCATCCATCCAACCTCCCACCACCTACCCCCCCCCACTTATCCATCCATCCAGGTTTCCACCCACACACATCTATCCATCTATCATCCATCCATCCAACCTTCCACCCATCCCACCCACACACACCTCTCCACCATCTCCATGTGGTTTGGCTTCCACCAAACCACACACACCTATCCATCCATCCTTCCACCCACACACTCATCCATCTCTCCATCCATCCACCATCCAACCTTCCACTTCCCACACCTATTCATCCATCCATCCATCCATACATACATACAATCAACATTCCATCCATCTATCCATTCATCCATCCATCTATCCATCCTATGGGAGAAATATGAAGGGATGAAAAATAAATGAATTTCAAACACAAAATAGGATAAAATTCTATAGAGGATGTACAAATTTTAAGGGAAAACAGTATGATGTAAAATTTCCAACAAAAGAAAATTCTTTTGATATGTTTTCAAAATGAACAGCAGTAGGTATTATTATAGACAGCTAAGTTAGGTAGAAATATTCTGGGCAGCCAGGCAGGGCTGGGCCCTCCAGGGAGTCAGTGCAGAGGATGAGAACACAGCACAACCGTGGCTGGAGCACCTCCATTGAAGGCCAGGCCTCGGGATAAAATGGAATGGCTACGCCTGCACTCTGATTGGTGTCACCTGGTCCAATAAAGTCTCCAGGGTGGGGGACCAGGACCTCCTGACTCACCTCTTCCAAAAAAGGTCCTTGTTCTTTCCATGTACACGTGCTGTGTGACCTGCTTCCCCACTGGACCAACTTCACCTAAGCAGCGGTTCTTACAGTTGCATTGGTTGATCCTAGTTTCATCCCACACTGTGCCCACCTCGTGATTTTGCTCGATAAAACTTCCTCCAAGAAGTGGGCTTGCTGGTAACTCACTTAGGTCCCCTCCTGTCTCTCGGGAGCTGTCTCCCTCTCAATAAAATTTCCTGCTCTTAACCTCCGTTGTTCCTTAGAATTCATTCTTCGACTTCAGGGAACACAAACTCAGCGTATCAGACATCTAGCAGGTTGGAAGGTAGCTCTATTTCCCCTATGTCACTTGGAGGCCCTCTATCAATATCCAGTTGTTAAGGTCCTGAGACACCTTTAGCTTAATTTAAAAGAATATGAAATGTTTAGTGATAGTACTTATGATGCAAAACTGTAAATGTTTATTTAAATATATGCAAAGGGATCCCTAGTTTATAGAAGTTGTTTAGAGGTTCAGATGAGCCCACTTGGAAGACGAACCGCTCTCAGAACTTGACCTGGAGTGGCTAAGGAGACTTCAAGCTCAGGTAGTCTGCGGGCCACCCTGAGCAAGGATTTGGGGGACATGCGACAAACTGTGCTCGCGTCGAGGGGCAGCCAGTCTCTGCTCCAGATTTGAAGCGCTCCACTGCTGGACTTTTTTCCCAAAAACTCTGGATTTTCATGCGCTATCTCTACATTTTTAATATAGGGTTCAAAAACCTTGAAGTATTGGCTCACTGTGGCCTGCGGGTCAAGCGTAAATTATTCTGCAGGCAGAAGGGCACGCAGACCGCTTTTTCACTTGACCATACTCTCCGATGGAACGTGCAGGGGAGGGGATGCTTGGTTGTTACAGTCGCTTTTCTAAAAATACAGGGAACTCATGTCCTCGACTGCGATTTCAATCTTGGAAAGTATTTATTTCCTGGTGAGTTCAGGAAACACTAAGGAATGCTCAACTAAATCTGTAAGTAAGCAAGTCATTCCGCGCATTCCTCAGGCAAATGCATCTGGTACTTGTTCCATATATAACCAGGGATCTAATTGAATGATGCTTCAAGAATTCGCTTCGCGTTTCTGGTGTCACCGGACACTGCACGTCGTGCCGGGGACACCATCCGCGCTGAGCACGGTCTGTCGTCTGGAAGTCGGCTGCTGCCCCAGGGTTCTGTCCTGTGATCGCTCTCTCGGGGAAGCCCTCCTCGCTGTGACCTTGCTAGGGTTTCTCTGGGACGCTCTTCTAGTCACTCTTGGAGGCCGGGCTTTGCCACCTGGACGGACTGTGCGGTCTCACAGATGATCTCTTAGGAGGCGGGGTCTGACTGGAAAAGGCGTGACCTGGCATGGTTTATCCTCCCAGGTCTGATTGGAAGAGGTGACTGTGGGGGAGTGGCCTGACAGTTTAATCTCCCCAGGTGTGATTGGAACAGGCGACTGTGGGGGCGTGGCCTGACAGGGTTTATTCCCCCAGGTCCGGTTGGAAGAGGTGGCTGTGGGGGCGTGGCCTAGCCGGGTTTATTTCTCCCACCCTCCCCATCTGATTGGAAGAGGTGACTAGGGGGCGTGGCCTGAGTTTATTCTCCCCAGGTCTGATTGGAAGAGGCAGCTGTGGAGGCGGGGCCCGACAGGGTTTATTTCTCCCGCCCTCCCTGTCTGACTGGAAGAGGTGATTATGGGGTCATGGCCTGACAGGGTTTATTCCCCCCGGATCCGATTGGAAGAGGCAGCTCTGGAGGCAGGGCCTGGCAGGGTTTATCTCCTACCAGCTCCCCCTTGCCCTCTCCGCTTCCGGGCCACCCTGTGGTGAGCATCTTTGCCATGCCAGGCCTCTCTGCGGCACTGTTTCTTCTTGGAGCTGGCAGACTGGGCAGAAAGATGAGCCAAACCGGCCTCTTTCAGATGCAGCTGTTGGGGACTGTGTCACACAGCGACGAGCACAAGTCTTCAGCGTGCTGTGCTGTGTTTTCCGGTGTTTCCCTCCTTCTCCGCCCCCCTCTCCCCATCCCTTCTGCACCTCTTCTCGTCCCCTCTCCCAGACCAAGCTACAGGCAGGACCCCCACATGACGCATCCCGGGGCTGCTGCCCGAGTTCTGCCCTAAACATTCAGCGGCCACCAGGCCTGAGTGCAGCCTGAACCCCTACTTGCACTGTAGGCAAGCAGAAAAAGTTACTGTGCCCCAGAACCACTGCGACCAGGTGAGGCCTCTGCTGCGAAGCCTCCACGGTTCCCTGCACTCTCGCTGCAACAGCTGAACAGCATTTCTGTGTTATGCAAAACACCAGCCCAGCGTTCTGTTCCCCTAACACGACTACTTGAGTTCAGGGGAAACAGGTTGAAGTAAATGAGTGTCTTTGCTCTAGGAATTTTTTGTTTTTTGGACGCAGGGGCTTGCTATGTAGCCCAAGATGGCTTTGAACTACATAGTGAGACTGTCTCAAAAAAACCAAAAGGTCTTGCGGCAGGTCAGAGGCAAAATGACCTCCTGCTGAACCTGCCTCCAGAACATCTTGTGTTCTAGAAGGTACCCGGACAGAGATATTTATATATTTAGTCACAGTATGGCTTTTGCTTTCTTAAAAGTGAATTGTAAATTATTTTTAGGTTGTGTTCTATTTGGTGCCAAAAAACAAAATATCCGCGGGTCTGGTTGGGACTGGGCCCGGGTCGTGAGAACCAGGAGGTGCCAGAGGAGATTCCGCGGTTGGGTGGGAAGGAAAAGGGTACGCACCGGTCTTCAGCCCAAAGATCAAGTCGTCGAACTCCTGGGACTCCTCGTCGGCGATCAGCGAGCCCTGGCTGAAGCCGCCCGGGGAGGAGAAGGGCGCGCCGTTCTGCGGGCTGCTCTTCAGGTCAGGGCTGGCCTGGCTGGCTTGCCGGAAGGACGCGCGCTCCCAGTCCGGCAGCACCTTTGCGGGTGGGCACAGAGAGAGCGGAGACCGCAAGAGGATCCCGGGTTAGTAACTTACCCCTCCTTGCATCACCAAGACCCCGGGAAAGGCTACGGAGTTTTTAAAATCAAGAACTATTGTTTCAGGAAATAATCTCTCTCCTTTCACCAGTCTAGCCCGCTGATTTCTTTCTTTCTTTTTGTGGGGGAGGGGGGTACAGCGAATCAAACTCAGGACCTTGTGCTTGCCGGGCAGGCGCTTGTGCCACTGAGCTATATCCCCGGTCCTAGCCAGGTGATTTCCAAGTAACTTCTGTATTTGAATACCATGTGGATTTCTAGGCTGGCAACTACTCTTTCTTTTTTTTTTTTTTTGGTCTTTTTGAGATAAGGTTTCACTATGCAGTTCAGGCTGGCCTTCAACTCACTTTGTAGCCCAGGATGGCCTCAGAGTGGCAGGGATCCTCCTACCCCAGCCTCCTGAGTGCTGGGATTACAGGCGTGCACCACCACACCTGGCTTGAAACAACTAGCTTTTAATCCAATAAATACATTTTCGTTTTTTGACGAGATCGGGTGCGTTCAGGGTGGTATGGCTGTAGACCATTTTCGTTTTTGTATAATGTGCACAAAGGGAACCCTGTTAAAAAAAAAGTACTAGAGAAGAGGGCTCCTGGTTGTTAATCTAAAATGTTGTATTTTAAATAGAGTAGGAACCTGTAAGTACAAGGGGTAATCAAACTATATGGTGAATGTTTATTATATGTGAAGACTTTTTTGCAGTAGACACATCATCATTAATCTCTCTCAAAATCCTCCTCCTTGCTTGGAACACACTTTTCCCATCATTCTTGCTACTTTTTTCTCTGAGACAGGGTTTCCCTATGTTTTTAAGGCTGGCCTTGAACTTCCTATGTTGCCCAGGCTGGCCTGGGATTTGCAGTGATCCTCCTGCCTCAGCCTCTCAAGTGCTGGGATTCCAGGCATGCGCCACCACACCCGGCTCTTGTCACTTTCTGAAGCAGCTCTGGAAGTCCTCTGTCATGAAGGGCTTCACAAGTTTGGATAAAAAAATATGGTGATTTGCTGCTGCTGGGTGCCATCCAATGGAAAGGCAGGGCTGTGAAACACGGAGACCATCCTCACCCATCTTATTCACCAGATCTGACACTGCGGTTTCCAGCTCTCCCCCAGAGACAAAACCATCACAAAAGGAAAACATACTGGTTGGACTCAGCACATCAAGGCAGCCAGGACAGTGCAGCTAGACCCTCAGGAAAGAGGACTCCAGAGCTGCTGCAGAAGGTGGCAGGGACGACGGGATGAGGAGGCTCGAAGGGAGGGGAGGATTTTGACAGGGATTAATAGCAGGGTGTTTTTTTTTTTTTAATTGTAATAAGTTACTTTTAAATTTAACTTTCACTGTGTTTTTGATTACACCGCCAGTCATCTGCACACAAGAACAGCAGCCGAGCACATCTCAGGCTAGCAGAGACGGTCGGGGTGAGCAGGACGGCTGCCCCTTCGGGCCAGTGCCCTTGCGTGCGTCTCTGCGAGGGCCGCGTCATCCACACTCCGCAGGAGCTCAGCTGCGGCCGGCGCAGCGCAGGGGAGAGACTGACCAGCCGCAGGTGTGGCGACGCGGGGGACACGAAGGGCCACGGTGTCCCGGGAAATAAATCAGACACGAGCTTCAGTGTCACACGGTTTCTCTTTAGGAGAAGCCCAAAGTGTAAATGAATTAAAGAGCAAAATAAAAGATGGCTAGGGGGCTGGGGATTTAGCTCAGCGGCAAAGCGCCTGCCCGGCAAGCATAAGGTCGTGAGTTCGGTTCCCGGTACCAGAGAAAAACAAAATAAATAAATAAATAAAAGATGGCTAATAAGAAGTAGGGGGAGAGATTTGGGGAACAGAAAGGGAACCAAAGGATGAGGATGTGCAGGGAGAATGAGGGTGCACCGTGCCCGTGTGCCAGCTCCCAGCAGGAGTGCCTCACGGGGCACTGAGAACCTGTACTAGTAAAAACAAACACTGAAAGCACCGGTGATCCCAGCACTCAGGAGGCTGAGGCGGGAGGAGTGCCTTGAGTTTGAGGCCAGCCTGGGCTACATAGCAAGACCCTGTCTCAAATTGCCAAAAAAAAAAGGGGGGGGGCACATCTTTTATATTGCTTTTAAAAGGAAAAATCTAATCCAAAATCTTTTAAGAAAATACTGATTTCATCATAATGTATTTAATTAAACGTCAAAGATGACCACATGATGGCCTTGTTTAAGAAACATTCTCCCATGAATTAACAGGAAACAATGGTCTAATCCACGGAACTGAACCTAATCACGCACTGCAAATACTGATAAAAACAACATAAACTCGTGAAAAAATGGTAAGAAATCTGCTACCCCCCGAAAAGGACCACAGGGCAGAGGGTGCCAGTAGATAAAGGGGGTGAGAGTCACCTGGCATCACTCACCTAATCCTTCTTACCAGTTATGAGATAGAAGAGCTGGGGGGGGCAGGGAAGGGGGGAGGGGACAGGAGGGAGAGGTGGGGAGGAGAGGAGGAGGGGTGACGGAGAGGTCAGAAGGAGAGGGTGGGGGAGAGGGGAGGAGGGGGGAGGGAGAGGGGAGGTAGAAAGGGGAGGGGATGAGTGGGAGAGAGGCAGGGAGGGGGCAGAGGGGGAGGGAGAGATCAGAAAGGGAGGGGGAGAGGTAGGGGGAGAGGTGAGGGGGAGGAAGGGCGGGGGAGGGGCCGGGAAGGGAGCCGTGGGGCAGGGCGGCGGCCGCACCTCCTCCAGCGCGCCGATGAGGTTCTGCGTGGACTTGCTGACCTCCTCGCCCGCGGCCGGCAGCCCGCTCCCGGGCGTGCAGAAGGCCGCGCCGGGGCCCGGGTGGCCGTTCATCTCCACGGTGTAGCTGGCCTTCAGCGGGCAGCACGTCTGGTTGTGCAGAACGAAGTAGACCACGAACACGTAGAGGCCCTGCGGGCGGCCGGGAAGGCCGGTGAGGGCGCCGTGGGGACACGCCTCCCGGACACCTCGGGGCGGGGACACCCCTCCCGGACACCCCCTGGCGCTCCGCACTGTGCTCTGGGCCAGGCGCGGGCACCTGGCTCCTCGGCGCCGCCTGAAATCCCTGCACTGGGAGCCACCAGGACGCCAGGGTCACCCTGATCCAGAGGTGGGGGGGCGCCTGCCTCCCGCTCCAAACTAGACTTGAATTCCCCTTGCAGCCGGCTGGAGAAACAGGCAGCTCGCGCCTCTCGGCTCCACACATCCCACTTTTACATTTCCGATGAGAGTCCTCCCGGTACTCAAATTCTTAACAGTCGTCCACAGAAATAAAACCAAGTCTCGGCTAACCAAAGAATAAAAGCGCTTAACCTGAAGATTCTTCAGAGAGCATGAATAAGTATCTTCATTCTGTGAAACTCCCTCGAGTTCCTAGCGTTTCTAGGCACTCAGAAGCAAGCATACACTTGAGAGCCTCAAAAAATTCTCCTAGAAAATACACAGATGTGGTGGCGCATGCCTGAAATCCCTGCACTGGGAGGCTGAGGCAGGAGGAGTGCCAGGAGTTCAAGGCCAGCCTGGGCTACACAGTGAGATCCTGTCTCAGAAGGCCAAAAGAGAATCAGGGGAGGAGGTCATACACAGAGCCTACAGAATTGCAAATAACATTCTTATTCTTTTATTCTTATTCTTGTGGTACTGAAGATTAAACCCAGGGCTTTCACACTGAGCTATATCTCCAACCTTTAAGATTTTTTTTTTTTTTTTTTTTGAGACAAGGTCTTGCTAGCCATTAAGTTGCCTGGGATGGGCTCAAACTTGTGATACTCCTGCCTCAGCCTCCCACAGCGCTGGATTACAGGCAAGTGCCACTCTGCCTGGTTTACAAACAACTGTTACATGAATGCAGGAGAAGACAACCCACAAAGCGACTTGCTCCCAGCAGATCTCAGCTCCGTGTCTGGAACACTGCGATAACTTAACATTTGTCCCCATTCTACCAGGCGGGGCCCTTCCTAGATTGGTACCTAGATTTCATATTTAAAGATATGCCTTCAAATCAGTGGTGCACCTGCGAAGAATAAATATTTTTCAAAGAAACTGGTCCAATCACCATACCAAAATGAACAGAAACGTGTTTCCCTTCCTATTGGTCACAAGTTCACATTCGTATTCTCAGCCGTGTGGGCCGAGGGAATTGGATCCTCGTACAGGGGACATAGAGCCTCAGCAGAGAGAGACCTTCCTGATGACACACGCAGGCTTCCCACCCTTTCCTTGTGCACCGACTTTGTGCGTGGTGGTGGCTAATGACGGTGTCCACAGCAACACACTAAACAGGAAAGACCCAGGGGTTCAGGCTTGGGCTCAGCGCCCTGCGGGTTAGGTGAAGCTGCCTCCGTGCACCGGCGGCCGCCGGGCACCTTCTCCTGTCTGCTGTCACAGGGAGCCTTTGCGTCTTAGGACGGGGATGTCTGCTGAAAAGAACTCACGCATCAAAACAGCCTTTTTTTTTTTTTTTTTCCTGAAAAGCACAGACATATTCAGTAAGTAGCTGGAAGCTTCTAGCTGCGCCCCAGGAAACACACACACTGTGGAGACGGGAGGGAAAGAATGCCGAAGTGCAGACTGGACGACGTCTGCTTGTGGCAGCCCGGGCCGGGGGACACAGGAAAAGGGCCTGCGCCCGCCCTGGAGAATCCTGTCTGGCTTGCTGCTTTGGTTATTTTCTTGGTCCTCCTACTGCTGTCAGGAACCGCACTTACGGAAGTCTTTAGGTTGAATTTCGATGCACGGCAGCCCTCGGACCTGCTGTCTTTCTCTTGACTCGGGAATTTAATCTTGCTGCTCCCAGGTGGACCGTGACAGCCTGGGGGGCCAAAAATGCTCCTGGCATCGTGGACAGCCGAGAAGGCGCAGAGCCTGGGCTGCTGGCTCACTCCCAGCACACCTACCAAGCAGCGGTGGAAGGTGGTTCCGCCGGCTCTCATGCTCCTGAGAGCTCCTAGGTTCTGCAGGGCTCCACAACCCGTAGTCCTGGAGGTCTCCGGCTTCTGATCACTTTTCAAACCCAGGTTCTGCCTGAGACATCCCTGGGGACAAGTCACTTAGAGAAATGCATCACCCTTAAGGGGTTTTTTTGAGACAGGATCTTGCTATGCAGTTCAGGCCCCACATTCTAGATCCTCCTGCTTCAGCCTCCCGAGTGCTGGGACAGCACCCCTCCCATTGCCTTTTTGAAAGCAGAACCTGTAGAGCCAGCATTCAGCTCTCCTGCTTCCTCATGCCCTGAAGTCCACTCCATTCTCTGGGCAAAGAGGAGCCCTCAGAGCGGTGCCGAGATTATGGGGTGAAGAGGGACGGCCGGGTGCCCGGTACCTGGACAGAGGAGAGCGTTCCATGGCAAGTGAGTCAGATTGTACGCTGCTGGGGTCGGATGCTGTTTTCAGGTCTGCACAGGCTCTGAGCCGGAGGCCGGGTGCCTGCAGCGTGCAGGGTGGTGACGTAGGGAAGACACCGCCCAGCAGAGCCCGGCGGAGGGAGGACGCGAACCGGAAGGCACAGCGAGGGAGGCGGGACAGCAGCTGTCTGCGGTCAGACGCAAGCACGCTGCGGTGCCTGGGAGGAGAGGACTTCACCCTCGCTGTGCACGGGAGGAGAGGGACGGTGACCGACCGCACTGTCAGGGTGGCCGCTGATGCCAGGAGGCGACAGGAGAACTGCAGCGGGGAGGACGGGTGGATGTGCTGTGTGGGTGGGGACCTGGGTCCGGGACGGGAGTGTCCGACTCACTGCAGTCAGGGTTGGGTTTGATAGCTGGATGTTAACGCCTGGTGGGCATGTTTTCTACCCTGTGCGCTGGCATCAGAATTTTTTCTTATTTTTTGAGACACAGTTTTGGTATGTCGTTTAGGCTGGCCTTGAGCTCACTGTGCACCCCAGTCTGGCCTTGGACTCACAGAGATCTTCCTGCCTCAGCCTCCCCAGTTTTGGGATCACAGGTGTGTGCCACTGTTCACAGCAAGACTGCACAGCTCAGAGCTCAGTTCAAGTTTAAAGTACAAAGGGACCTGGGCGTCCCATCCGATGAGAAGTACTGAAAACGCTCAGTGTATCTCATGTTGCCTGTAATTCAAGACCAGTGTGGGTGCCCCTTGTAACTTTCAGGTCTGTCCTCACCAGGGTCCCTTCGGAGAGGCCCAGTTTTGGTCCCTGAGTTCTACCTGTCCCACGCGTTGTTGAAGGCTACCGGTCAGCTAGAGACACATCTTACACCAGACACAAAGGCTTAAACACCACAGGGTTCCTCTTACACAAGAAGCCCAAAGTATAAGTAAGTGAAAGAGCAAAAGAAAAGAAAGGTGAGAGGAAAGACGGAGACAGAGCTTTGCAAAGGGAAAGGGGACCGAGCAGTGGGGGGGGGGGGAAGCAGAGGACGAAGGAGATTGCAGATGTGATACCCACACATTCCAGCTCCCACGGGAGCGCGGTCCTTCTGTACTGCAGACGTGGGTTGGTAACACTACACAAAGGATGTATCTTTCATATTCCCTTTAAAAGGAAAAATCGACTCTAGTAAACTTGTAAGAAATTGCTGATTGCATGACAGCGTACTTAATTAAATACCAAATATGATCTGAACGATGGTCTTACTTTAGGACCATCCTCCCCGGAATCAGTTTAAAACAATGACCGAATCCACACAGCCTGTTACTGGAACACGGAGCGGACACCTTGAGCCCTGCTCTGCTGAAACACAGGTAGAACTGCGCCCTCGGGGATAGAAGTTGATCCCAGCCCGAGGGCAGCACTGGCCACCGGAGGTCTCCCCGGAGGATACACATTCCCCGAGGTATTACGCTGCTTGCAATCTTTGCATTTATAGATCTTAGATCATGGAGCATCTGAACAGAAATAAACACTAATCCCAGATATTAAGAAGCAGGCTCTGTACAGTGGAATTACTATTTGTTTTTATTTTCATAACCGATAAGAACTGGTGGCGTGGTTTGTTTTTGTAGGAACAAATCACTGAATATCTCCTTGTTGGGATTTTCTTATCGGTGAAGTAAGGACGCTAGGACGTGGCCAGCGATGCTTTATGGAATAACTGATTTGCTGGCAAATCTCTAAAAATCTACAGATAATTTAAAAAATTTAAAGGCAAACTACGTTCCTAGTTATTGTGGAAGGAAGACACAAAAGAAAACAGAGGGAAGCTAGAAATGTTTTAGAGCAAATCCGAACACTCAGAAGTAACCACTCAAAGTTGGAGAGGCGCTTTCTTGAAACTGCAGTTTCTGGAGCATTCCCCCGACCCACTCATTAGGCCGGGCCCTGGTTTCCTGTGTAAGCACTTTGCTGCAATCCGAGCTGCAGGGTGGGTTTGTATTGGGAAATCGCGGTGGAGGAAAACCTCAGATCCCAGTTTGCCTGACCGGCTGCTCCGCTTGGGATTCTGGGTTTCGGCTGCTGACTCAGCTTTTTACTACCGTGACTTCCTTTCGTGCCCCTGGTGAGGTGCTGCGTCATGTGGTGACTGGGGGCTGCTCACCCCGGGCCAGCCTCGCAGGCTGAGCTGCAGTTTCAGTTCCCTCCTCACCACCCTCTGTTCAGTCCTTGAGTGACTATGACAGGGGTTGCGTGTCCATCTGGAAGGGTGCCACGGCCACCGGGCAGGCAGAGGACACAGCCATTCTGCCCCTGGGGCTCCTGCCCACTCTCGTGTGTGACCGAGGCCCCAAGGCTCCGAGGTCTTCCTCTGCGGCTGACCCTGTCGGAAGGGGAGCTCAGGAAAGCAGGATGGCCCAGCAAGACCTTACCTGAGTTTTGCGATGCCCTCCCAAAAAGTTTTATCTTTTTTCAGCAGAATAATGTTAAGCCGGGCGTGGTGGCGCACACTTATAATCCCAGCACTCGGGAGGCTGAGGCAGAAGGATTGTTGCAAGTTTGAGACCAGCCTGGGCTAC